TTTTTAATCACTTGACAGATTAAAACATAAAATCAGCTGCCCTAAACCAGCAAATGTTGCGCCAATGTAGGAGTTCCCATTTAAGGTTTTAGCTTCTGAGAGACAGACAGGGCCAGCTGATGCCTCCTTCACATTCCCCTCCAACAAGGCTGCCCTGTCTGCAGGTGTGAGCAAGTGGGCAGAATGCTCTCAGCTGTGGCAGAGCAGGTGAAATGCCCCAGAGAGGGAAGGGCAGGACAAGGTGTGGGCATTCATAAAATATACATGTGTTTGGGTCTGGATAACAGTACTATTTAAATATCATCTTCCATTTGATTCATACAAGACACTGATCAGGGCACAGGCCCTGCTTCTTCACTGCCAGCATCCTTGCCTCAGGCACACAGATGCCTTTGTTCCTCATGGTGGGACTGGGCCTTATCTCTGTTCTATACTGCTGTTTCTATGGAAGCAGCAGAAGCAGCGTGGTGAGAGTGAACTCGTAGGGAAGGATGAGCAGGATTCTGGACCCTGGAAGAGTCACTCTCCAGCCAGATCGACATCATGCACCTGAAAACGCTTCTTGGGTGCCTCTATTTTGCAGAGCATGAAGCAGAGGGAAGCCAGCCTGGGCACTTGTCAACATCCCCTAGACACAATCTGAGTGTGGACCCATGCTGAGTCAGAGGAAGAAACCCTTCCAGAACAGATCATGTCCTTTCTCCTCACATGGGCAATGGTGGCTCCTCAGAGGAAGGAGTGGGAGCTATTTACTTAGTTAACATATAACTTTAGACTATAGTCAATTCCACTGTAAACTGCAATTTTCTCTAGAGCATAGATTAAACTATTTCAGCTAATGTTCCTCTTAAAGAATTTGTCCAAATATGTAAAAAATATTTTCACTCAGTGCTCCCCTCGTGTTTGATTAAACAGAACTCTGAGTGGGCAGAGGAGGGCAACAGTTCTGAGTGGGATTCACCAGAGCAGCAGCCGTGTCACGGGCAAACCCACTGAAAGGCAGATCCTCAGAGCCCGCTCTTGATGGCAGCAAACAAACAACAGGAATAGAGTAAATATGAGTGCTTCAACAAGCATCTTGAGTGGATTCTTTCAGGTGTTCAAGTTTGAAAAATACGAACTCAACTGAATTTTCTTAGGTACATAGCACAGCGGAAGGGCGTTTGCCTTGCATGCGGCCAGCCCAGCCAAGTCTAGTTTAATTCCTCCGCCCCTCTTGGAGAGCCCGGCAAGCTACTGAGAGTATCTCGCCTGCGTGGCAAAGCGTGGCAAGCTACCCATGACATATTGGATATGCCAAACACAGTAACAACAAGTCTCACAATGGAGATGTTACTGGGCCCGCTTGAGTAAATTGATGAACAACGGGAGGACAGTACAGTGCAGTGCTATGTCTTAACATTATATCATATCCAGAGTCAACAACACAGAAATCATGAGACCCAAACTTTAATAACCAAATTTAAAAGGTGACTGTCAAGCTGGCAGGCTGGGGATGGGGTGGAGTAGGGGAGGGAACCTGGGAACACTGGTGGGGGGCACTATAGGCAGGGTTGATGATAGAAACTGCATGTCAAAATTCCAACCATGAATAACTTTGTAATGTTTCAAAATATAAATTTTGAAAAATAAATTATATAATACAATTACTCTCTGCATGACCCACACAGTTATAACTACACTCAAAAAAGAGACAGAGGTTTATATCTCTCTGAAAGACATCACTTTGCTCATCTTATCAATTTCTTTGCTATATAGGCTTTCAGCAAAAAAATCTCTTTGAAAGCTAAAAATTTGTGATCCTGAATATCACATATGTTAGGCAATTACTCTATTAAGTTTCTTTATTTTTTTTAAATTTTGGGTCACATGAGATAATGCTCATGGAGTAGTCCTGGTTCTGTACCCAGGAATCACTCCTGGCAGTGCTTGGGGACTATATGGAATGCCAGGAATCAAACCGGCACCAGCTTCACGCAAAGCAAGGGCCTTATCCACTATTCTATCACCCCAGTCCCTAAAGTTATCTTGAAAACAAAATGTACTAATAATCCAATTATGAGTATTTAATCATGTCACAAATACTGATACAAAGATCGCAGATTTTTACAAGTTACAGACAAAATGAATGCATGACTAACTATTCCATATCTAAGAGTTCAGTGAGAAAAGACAGAATTTTTAATACTAGTTAATAGGAATGTCTTTTAAAATATGAAAACTAGGGTTCCAAGATAGAACCAGCCAGGGTTTGATGGCTCTGCCTTGTAAATGTGAAGCCATAACCTATGAGTTTGATCCCTAGAGCCACACACGTGCTGAGCAAGGCTGCCGTGGTCACCCCACCCATTCCACAACTCAGAGGGAACAGCCAGAGGATGCAGACCCAGACTGTGGGAGCACAACAAAGAATGTGTGTGAGCCCTGGCCAGCAGGTGTGCAGAGCGCAACAGCAGCTCAAGAGAACTTACAACCAGAAAAGGGTGCCTCCTAGTGAGTGGCACACCAAGTGTGCACATCCTCAGCCTTAGAATAACAACAAAGCCAAGGCAAGGTGGAAATTCTGAGAGCCCAAACAGTCTCATTTTCTTACAAACAACTCATGTCCTTGAAAGAAAACCTTTCCTTTTCATTCAGAACCCTGGTGTTAGTAACAACTGCATATAAATAAAGCTTTGCAAACATCTTATCTTTGCATGGAAGGAAATTCAAGAAGAGGGAACTGACGTTTTTCCTCTGTGACGACAATACATTTTTAAGTTTCTTTCCCAGAAATCAGTAAATAACAAAATACTTTTCATTAAAAAATTGTTCATAGTAAATGCTTAAATCCAATCCGTTTGCTACTCATATGTTTAGAAAATGAGATGGTTTCTGCAAGCAAACTTTGCTACTATTTCAGTGCCAAATGAAACAGATTTCAGCAAAATGCTTTTACTGACTCAGAACTGTTCATCCTAATGGTTATAGCAGCCTATTTATCTTTTATTCCCAATTCCCAATTCTCTACTTTCTTATACCTGTTTCCTCTTAAGTAGACTTTATCCAGTGTGGACACACATATTAAAACCAAAAAAGTACATTTCAGGATTTTGGACATGCTGATGCAGTTTAGTATCTTCAGTCAATAAAATAGATTCCTCATAGAATAACACTGATACTGGAACTCACCATCCTAATTGCTGAAAAAACATCCCTCCTGGGCAAAAGCAAAAAGTGACCCCAGGGGTGGCTGAAGAAGTGCTGAACACTATAAATATGATATGTGCTATGATAAAATTCAAAATCTAAATCCAATTAAAATAAAATTCTTCTCTATAGATAATTTTTGGAAGCAGTTAGTCTATGGTTCAACCATGGAAACCTATGACAAAACAGTGGATCATCATTGTATCATGTTTATTTTTTCCCATCAAAGCAGTTAAAATGCTTTAAAATAAAAATAAATGTACAGCACAAAGAAATGTTTAAGAAACACAAAATTCAAAATGTTTTTCTCTGAGACTACCGCATTATTGCACTGCACAGTTTTCAGGAGGAATTTTAAAGCTCTGAGTGGAAAGCTACGTGGATATGACCAGGGTGAGGCTGAGGCTGACAGATAACGAACATCCCTAAAGGGCTAATGAAAACCTGATGGTCTGACACACAGACAGACAATAACAACAAAAACTGCAGAGTGATTTCACCATAGTCACAGGGTCCGTCAAAGCAACTTGGAGCCACAATCCAGGAGCCAAACCTCCCAGTGGAAGGCACAGACCCAGTGGGTGTCCAGCTTAATTTAAAGAAAAGCCAGTTTATTAAAGGACAGAAAGGACTGAACCTCAGGTCTAGAGGAAAATTAATACAGATAATCAGGAAAGTTAGCTCCTAGCAGAGAACAAATGGGCCTATTAAATGTGTTGGAGATAAACACTCAAGTTCCAGGTAACATCTCCCCAGGAAGCTGGGATGCAAGTAACTGGGAAAGATCTCAGTACAACAAAGAATAATGCTTCCCAATCTTTATGCCATAGGTAAAAACAATCTCTTGGCAAACATATGGAGCAAGCCCTGTTCAGCTCAACTGCTTGAGAGAACCTGTTTTCTAGAAGAGTTAAGGACCCTGTACTGGCCTCAGGTGTGATTCTGCCACGCTCCACCCAAACAGGGACAATGCAGAAGTCAAAAATTCATGTTATATAGCATTCTATTCCAATATAGCAAAAGATGAGTCATCATAAAAGAATGTCCAACACCCAGAAAGTGAGGCCTACTTATTTCAAATGTATGTTCCAAGGTCTGAACAAATAGATGAGGAATCAGGAATGAAAAACCAACAGCTAAATAAAAAGGTTCTTTACAGTCATTCCATCCTTTGGTATTCATTTGTGTTAAAGGTAAACATGAAAGAAAGGAGGCTTCTTAAGTACCAAGCCTCAGCAAATAAACTCATATCACAAGGAATCAACCCAATATTTAAATCCTTCTCAGGTGTGTGTGTATCAAAACTATTTGGGGAAACCTCTATTATAGGTCATTCCTACTCTTTACAGATTAGTTTTTTTGAAGCTCTCTTAATTGTGCATTTTTCTCATTAAGAAAATCAAGGTGGAGCTTACAATTTTTTTTTTTTTGCTTTTTGGGTCACACCCGACGATGCACAGGGGTTACTCCTGGCTCTGCACTCAGGAATTATCCCTGGCGGTGCTCAGGGGACCATATGGGATGCTGGGAATCGAACCCGGGTTGGCCACATGCAAGGCAAACACCCTACCCGCTGTGCTATTGCTCCAGCCCCCAGACCTTACAATTTCAATGCTAAAAATCAAGTCTATGTCAGTCAGCAAGCAATGGGTTCCTCTTTGATATCTAAGCTAACTGGCATCTCACTGACTTCCAAATAAAGTTTCATTATTTCACCCTAAATGCTCCCATCACTACAGTCAAGTTCAGTGTTCACACAGAACTCAGTTCATTTAAGAGGTGCTCTGGTCCGGAGAAGCTCTGTCCCCTACCTTTTCTGGTGCCCTGTCCTGCGCATGTGGCGCTGCAGCAGGCTGAGAGGGAGGGGGCGGTGCCCGGCGCTTCTTCATGTCCGACTTCAAGGACACCCCCGAGATGTTGCTCAGGGACAGGGAAGGCCCCGGCGTGATGGAACGTGATTTCGAGGAGGGAGTGTTCGGCATTGTTAAATAGCCCTGTGGGGGAAAAAGAAGCAGAATCCATCAACAGGAGACACTCTCTGCGGCTGAAGAGTCTAAATCCCTATTGCAGAATGTTTGCTTGCTTTCTTCTCTTCCTTCTTGCTTTCTTGCTCTCTTGCATGTTTTGGGGGCCACATCTGGCGGTGTTATGAGCTCACTCCTGCAGTGCTGAGGGATAGCTTGGGGCACCAACAATCGACACTGGGTCAGCTGCTGTAGGTCAACAAGTACTTTACAATCTCTCTGGCCCAGGGCTATTTTCTTAATCACAAAGGAAACAGCAGACATTTTAAGGTTCTAAGAATAGTTATCAACTAAAATCAATCAATATTCTTAACCAGCTGGTAGGTATGAACTGGTTTCTTTAGAGCTTTACCATCACAATATTCTGGCATACTGAAAAGAGGACCAAGAAGTACCACCTTTCTCATAGACAAGATCAACTATTACATCTTAAGATGAATGTCACCTTCAGCCAGCAAAGGGCTCTCATTTCTTATGCCCCTTTCAAAAATTATGAAGGAAAGACATACCTGTGACAATGTTATGTGTGACTATTAAATGTAGTGTTTCATCTCAAACACCTAATGAAATGAAAATTCATGAAACCCAATGTCTTTATTGCCTTCCTTTTGTAGGGGTGGTGGGCTGGAGCGATAGCACAGCTGTAGGGCGTTCGCCTTACAAGCGGCCAACATGGCCGACCCGAGTTCGATTCCTCCGCCCCTCTCGGAGAGCCCGGCAAGCTACGGAGAGTATTCGATATGCCAGACACAGTAACAACAAAGTCTCCAATGGAGACGTTACTGGGCCCGCTCGAGCAAATCAACGATCAGCGGGAGGGCCTTTACCTTTACCTTTGAGCCTGCCATTCCAGGGATATGCATCCCACCTGGGAGGTGCTTTGGGGCCTCCAGGGCTGTATTAGATGATGTCCAGAAACCATGTGGTGCTGAGAATTACATGTGTACAAAGCACATGCTTTGCATGCACCCTAATCACGGTATTATCTCTTGGCCCCCTAAGTAACAATTTCTAGAACATGATTCTTGGTGGCAGACTGAAAAACATTTTGTCCTTCCCTTCTCTTCTCTCCTCTACCCTCCCTTTCCTTACTTTCTCCTAATTGTGCTCATAGATCACTTCTAGTTCTGGGCTCAGGGACCACTTCTGGTAGTATTCAAGAGTTCAGATGTGGTTCCTGGGATCAACCCACATTGAAAGTGTGCAAGGCAGGGGGTATGGTGCCGCCAGCAGGTGAATTTGTACCTGTGAAGCGAGTGCATCAGCAGCCTGATGGCGTATTCAGACTTCCAGATACCCCAAAATTGCTGCTGTGCTTTTGGCCAGACCCCAGAACCTTGGGTAAAGTTTACCAAGAAAGTAAATAGCCAAAAGTTAGGTATGTGGGAGACACACCTACAAACCACCTAGAGCTCAGCTATATAATTGGAGGTAAGGCCTCTCTGTTTCCGGATCGAACTGCTTAACAGCCATGATCACACAGACTCAGAGACAAAACCCAGCAGCTTTTGGAAGAGATGCGTCCAGTCCCCGCAATGAGTTACCAGCACCAGACCACCCAAGGTGGGCAAGGTTGTTGCCCCTCTGCCTGCTCCCCCTTAGCAGCACAGTGGCCACCATCTTCCAGAGGCCACTGGATGGTCAGGTTTGGACCCACAGTGATGAGACACGTGGGGCCTCACAGAATGGGGGTGGAATTGGCTCCATGCCCCAACGAGACCCCGAGTCACTGCCCACGAATGACCTCTCTGGCTCCTGATCAAGCTGCTTAACAGCCATGATCCAAGAGACTCAGAAACAAATTTTGGAACCCAAGGCTTTTGGCAGAAATGCGTCCGGTCCCTTTAGTAAGTTACCAGCACTGGGCCACCCCAGGTGGGAATAGGTTTCATGCCTTGGCCTGTTTCCTCAGTGGATCGGTGGCCACGATCCTCCAGAGGCAATTGGACGGTCAGGTTTGGGCCTGCAGTGATGAGACACGTGGGGCCTCATGGGATGGGGGTGCAACAGGCACTTTCCTCCCCACCCAAACAAGACCCTGCCCATGAAGAGCCACTCTGGCTCCTGATCAAGCTGCTTAACAGCCATGATCCAAGAGACTCAGAAACAAATCTCAGAACTCAGTGGCTTTTGGCAAAAATGCATCTGGTCCCTGCAGGAGGTTACCAGCGCTGGGCCACCCCAGAGGGAAAAGGGTGCTGTCCCTCCACCTGCTCCCCCCTGTTGGCTCAGTGGCCGCCATCCTCCAGAGGTCATTGGACAGTCAGGATTGGGCCCACAGTGATGAGACACACGGGCCCTCACGGGATGGGGGTGGAGCTGGCCCTTTCCTCCCCGCCGCAAAGTAATCCCAAGTCGCTGCCTACGAACAGTCTCTGGCTCCTGATCAAGCTGCTTAATGGCTAACGGCCATGATCCAAGAGACTCAATGTCAAATCTCAGAACCCAGCAGGTTTTGGCAGAAATCCCTCCAGATTTAATTGTTAAAATTTTGGAATTCCAAAATCGCAAGGCCACTACAGCGGCCATGCGACATCATATGTTATTCATAACCAGCAATAGAAAACAAATTGTCTACTGTTGCCTTTTCGGTAGATCTGAGTATTGGGGTAAAATCCCAAATAATAATGGTGGATCTGATGTCAAAATATTGAATGTAATCAAAGTAGAGAGAGAGTAATGTGGAAATCATCTGCTCCACAGGTTGGGGGAAGGTGTGGGATGGGGGTTATACTTGGGTTTTTGGTGGTGGAAAATGGGCACTGGTGAAGGGACGGGTGTTTCATTGTATGACAGAGACTTAAATCCGAAAGTTTTGTAACTGCTCGCATGGTGATTCAATAAATAAAATTATAAAAAAGGGGGGAAAAAGTGTGCAAGGTAAACACCATTCTCACTGTACTATCCCCCATCCCCTACATTTATTTTTTAATCTTTTCCTTAAGCTTGCTTAATAGAATGGTTTAAGGTCAGAGCCTTGAGAGAAATAGCATAGAATTTCAATTTAACACCAAGGGATGCATGCATTCTGAGAGCACTTTCTCCCCAGAACTGCCTGGTGTTCCCCCTAGTACAATGCCACAGTGCCCCATGCTGAGATCAAGCCAGTGCGTGGAAAGACTAGCCCCACGTAAAACAGAGACAAGGGTTTCATGCCCGCCTTTTAAAGCCACCACAAACTTGGGCAAAAGCTCTTCCTAAGTTTATATCCTGTAAACCTGAGGTTAGGAATAGCACCTACACATCACAAAATTCTCATGGGAAATAAATGAATCACTCGATGTGGATGATCTTTAAATAATTGTTGGCAGAGAGGAAGCAGCCATCATGGATTAGAAAACTCATAGGATTCAGCAGCAGCCTAGTAGTATCTCTGCTGTGACTCAAATTCTATCCCATCCTGCTAGTAATACTGTTAATTGATTCTCAAGAAGATTCCAGGGACACATATTTTCTTGTATTTAGATACTGAAGTCAGGAAAAGTCAGTCTCCAGAGGTTACTGTCATGCCACATTCTGCTTCCTTATGCTGTGCTAGCAGAACATCATAGAACAGATATCCACTGCCTATCCATAAAATGCGAGTACCTTTAAAGAACAATGGAAGGATAGACAGGCAACAGAAAATCTACTAATGCCAACTCAGGTTCTCATGATAAAAAATAATGTTAACTTTCAATCCTTGAGTTCTCTAGATATCAGATTGGTTACTAAGCAAATAAATTTATGTGAAGCAATTTGGTTCCACATTTTTCTTTGCCTTACACCTACCTTTTCAGCTGCCATATCTACCCAAAAACATGTAGTCCAGATGATTTTCAGATGCAATGGACTAAAGGAGGCAAACTGGCAAATAAGTTCCAGTAATCTGGACCCACATAAATAGCCCTGATCTATTTCTCAAGGTACTTATCACATTATAGTGGAAGAAAATCTCAGTAGTAGGAATTCTAGGTCATAAGCACTCTGTTCAAATACCCCAAATTCAAAGGGGGGGGGGTATTGTTGTCAAATATGTGTTATGAAGGTTGTTAAAGTATATAAAGTATTACGCAGAACTATCTCCATATACCTGAGCTGCTACTGCTATATGTGAAGTAAGTTCCACCCCATCTGGCATCTACAATCATCTTCATGACACGCGTTTCACAATCCTAAAACAAATTGCTTCTCTTTACTCCACCCTGTCTAGACCGTGAGCTTCCGATTCAGCTTGTCCTCCATCTTCATGAAAACTCTGTGTGCTGATCACTCAACACCTGTCTGACTCCACCTTTGTCCTTTAGATGCCCTGAACATTGCTTATTCCGGGGAGAACACACCCTGAAAAATACTTTGTGGGACACCATATTAGCTCCTCGTATGATACTGATTTCATTCATTAATGCTGTTATACCATATCTTTACAACGGCACTTTGTCAACTGCAGGTAAGGGAGTGAACTGAGCTTTTCCTGATCCAGAGCTCACCTTTCATGCATCGTATGTAAGGAAAACCCTCATCTAGAACACGGGAAGCAATACGAGTAACTTCAAATGCCACATCCCTGCCATATTAGCAGTGTCCAGTGCATGTGGCTTCCTTCTTCTTTGAGAAATACCAGGGGAGAGTGAATACCACTGGGTCACAGCCTGAGAGCACCCAGGAGGACAGAAGGCACCCGATCCCAGTCCCCTCCTGTCTGCACTCTGCTATTCTGGACAGCATGTTCTCATCATTCATACAGGTTTGAAACATAACTGAAAACTGACACGCAGGTTATTTTTAGCTAAAATTTGATTTATTTAACCCACAGACATAAATTACTACCATCTCACCCCACACAGTCAGAGGGAGGCTGATTTCAGGACCTCTGAGACGGAATCCATTGTCCCTCTTATGCTGTCACACAGCTGTTTCCTAATCTTCAACCCATGGGCAGCTGAGCAATCTGAAGCTCAGAGTATATTTGTAGTTAAACTCCTATCCTC